AGCTTGAGAAGTTGCCCCATGTGCTTGGCCAGCTGCTACCTGTGTGAGAAAGCAGGATGAAGTTCAGCTTTGTGGTTTCATCCTAGCCTGGTTTGTTGTGGCTATTTGGGGGAATGAACCAGTATTCACCCAGTCTTTCAAAAGAGACATCTTAAAGAGTTTAAGAAATAAAGTAGTAAAAACTTTTTATTTGTATTCCCTGGACCAAAACTTTTAATTTCCCTTATATAGCTTTGAAAGAATATTTAGTTCTTGTTTGCTGTTTGGATAGGAAAGCTAAGTTTGGTTCGTATACATGAGATTTAATTTCCTGAGAAGAGCTGCAACTTGGGGTAAGAGGAGTGATGAAGAATAATGTAAAAAGAGAGCTAAGTTACTAATGTGCTGGAGAGGATGATTTCCAGGGCCTTTGGATAGTTTCTCTCTCTGTCTGTCTCTCTCTCTCTCTCTCTCTCTCTCTCTCTCTCTCTCACTCACTCACTCTCACTCTGTTGCAGGATTCTTCATGCTAATGTTGAGACAATATCCTGTCCTGCAGCCTATTGCCTCTGAATGCGCAGTCCTGGGCACTCTTAGAGGAGCTGCATGTGCCACAAATAGAAGTGGACAGATGGCTAAAAGGGCGTGAGGGAACTCAGCTGACCTGAAGGGCTTTTCTGAAGGGAAGCACAGGGGACATGGTGTATTTGTTTTCCTTGGTCATTCAACTCCTCCATGTAGTATCTACGTGGAATATTTTAATGTTCACAGTATGCTGACATTGGCGGTGAGAAAGAGCTGCTGAGTCTGAGATAGCGTCATTTGGTGAAATACATTGGAAGTATACTGTGGTGTGAACCAGCAACATGGGTGCTAAGCACTCACTCTGTGTTAGCAGATACAGAAGTCCGTTCCCTTGGAGTGTTGTCAGATAATGAGGCTTCTACAGAAGTTGCTTAAAGGAAAACTTTATTTACTTGTGGCAAGTAAAGGAGACAGTAGGGGCATACCTACAGGGGCACATTGTGGCACAGTAGCCAAGCCTCTTCTAGCAATGCCACCATCCCTGGTTAGAGTACCAGTTCAAGTCCCAGCTGCTCTACTTCTGATGCGGCTCCCTGCTAATGCTCCTAGGAAAACAGTGGAAGATAATTCATCTCCCTGGGTCCCTGCCACCCATGTGGGAAATCCAGATGTTCCAGTTCCTGTTTTCATCCTTGCCTGGATGCGTTGGCCCTTTGCAGAGTGAACCACTTGATGAGAGATCTATCTCTCCCCTCCTTCAACAATCAGCCTTTCTGATAAATAAAATGTATTTTTAAAAATACTATACAGAGAAGCATTTGGCCAGATTTTATTATCAAAAGGTTTAAGGATGTATCCAGGATACAGAAAAGGAGTAACTGGAAGGCCCTTGATGTATTGTGTGTTCAAGCATCTAACTCAGATGGGTTTCTTACAGCTTTCTTCCTGTGACGTGGGCTGCGCCCCTGTGCATACAGTGTAATGAGACAAGGTTTCCTGGAGCATCCTTTGAGAAACACTCATGCAGTGAGCTGTTTGAGATTCTCTGTCACTCTTCCCATGGCCCACTGATCGGAGTCGTGCATTCCTGGTTATAGTGGTGGCCTGGGAGCAGAGAGGCCCAGGATCACTGGGGCTTTAGATTTTTTATCAGAAGCTACAAATCAAGAATTTTCAGGCAGAAAATGTGTGTGTGTGTGTGTGTGTACGTGCATGCTCACATACATATGTGTGGCTGTATCTACACATACCCAGGTACTTGAAAGAGATGAAATAGTGTAGAAGACAGAAGCTGGAACTCTGAATATGTTTTTCCTTTGTATATCTGACTAAATTGCCGTAGGATTATTTCCAATTTTGTAAGTTAAACTTGAGCTTTACAAAATCAGTCATGAAAAATTGGAAGAGAAGTACATGGAACAATTGAACTACACTGGGTATCTGGTCAGTGGTACAATCACAGACAATAGAATTAAATCAAGTGACTTTGAAACACAGTAATTTGTACTCTCTAGTAGACTATACTTCAAGGTTTTCAATAATGGTAAATTTTGCATACATTTTAATGACGTTTGTTGGTGGTATTGTTATTCAGCAGCTTCATATATATTATGAGTTAAGTGTAACAATTATGTTGGTATTGTTGAAAACAGTGATTTGAAGAATGGAAGTAATATCATAACATTGTAGTATCCATGAGGTTAAATTGAAAACTTCATTTGAATTTGAATGAAATTTTCAAGCGAAATTGTAGTCTGTTTTAAAAATTAGAAAATATTGTTTTCTGTCTCCACAAAAACAGATTAACACAGTAGCTAGCAACTGGCTTGCAAAAAACCAAGCCTGTAGTCTTGAAATACCAGTTCCCAAATAGATGAGATGGGGTTGCTGGTTAGCATGCCCCACATCCGGGACCTGGGGTGGGTGGGAGACTGGGAGGGGCTTCTCCCTTAAAATCCACTTTTACATCAGATATATTAAGGAAACAATACGGAACTAATTGTCTTGCCCATCTTCCTGTAGCGCTTGAACCTTTTACCCTAATTATGTCAAGATTGTCAAAAAAAAATAAATTTAAAAAAAGGAATGATTTCTCCAGGCCTGAAGCAGGACATGTGATATAGAATCTCACCCACCTTGACCACCGCAAGCAGGAATACCACCTCAGGGGTAATTTAGTGAGAGTCCCCTGCCCACAGGAAGGGGAGTTATGAAATCAATATAAATGGTAACTGTGCTAGAGAAGAAACACATACAAAAGGTCACAGTGATATTTATAGAAAAATAAACTTCTCATTGGTTTGGAAGATATTAGGTAACTGATACAATATTTTAAAAATCAGCAGATAAAAGAGGAAAAAGTCAAGCTGTGTCAAGTTCTTATCTGAACTGTAATTGAGGGTAAGCAAATGGTTCGTGAGATGAAATTTCTCTTGATATTAAACCCATCTGATAAGAAGAAATAAAATTAGTGTATAAGCAGTTGGTAACCCTTAGTGAAATTGTGAATCCTCAATCACTAATGGTTGATCTTATCACAGCAAAAGAAGTTGTGTTCCCATGAATCTCAGAACACATGAATATGTGGTTTTGGATAGCAAAGAGGAGCAGAGGTAACAGATCGAGTCAAAGCTGTTGATAATTTATTAAAAGATTCATTTTTTTAAAATTTGAAGCACAGGGCTGGATGGCTGGGGCACAAAGATATTTTCCCTCCATTAGTTCACACCCCAAATGCCTGCAACAGCCATAGCTGGACCACACTTAAGCCAGGTACCTAGAACAAACACTATACAGGTCTCCCACGGGGGTGGCTAGAATTACAGTATCAGAGGGGCCGTGTTCCTTCCAGATGTTCTAACAGAGAATCCCTTTGAGTTTCCTCTTTTTGAGAGCTTTGCCACAGTCTCTGATTCACAGACCATTTTCCTGTCCAAGTCCAGAACAGCTAATTGAGTTTTTCTTTTATTCAGTTGGCCAGTCACTGAGTCTCTTTCATACCACTTCCATTTTTCTAAAACATAGTAATTTCAATGAGTATATCTATATCATCCAGGATTATCACCCCATTTTAAGAGTAATTGATTGAGGCAGCAATGCCACTTAAGATTCTGCCTATAATACTAGCAATCCTTTTTTTTAGGATTTTTTTTTATTGGAGAAACAGATCAAATTTATGGAGAGGAGAGACAGAGAGAAAGTTGTTCTATCTGCTGGTTCACTCCCCAAATGGTTGCAATGGCCAGAGCTGAGCCAATCTGAAGCCAGGAGCCAAGAGCTTCTGCTGAGTCTCTTCTGTGAGTGCAGGGTCTCAGGGAATTGGCCCATCCTCCGCTGCTTTCCCAGGCCATTAGCAGGGAGCTGGATTGGAATTGGAACAGCTGGGTCACAATCCGGTGCCTGTATAGCAGCCTGGTGCTTGCAAGGTGAAGATTTAGCCACTAAGGCATTGTGCCAGGCCCAACACCAGCATGCTTTATGGGTGCGAGCTGAGGTCCAGGCTGTTGCACTTCCCATCCAGTTCCTTGCTCAAGTGCTTTGGGGGTAGCAGATTGTAGCCTGAGTGGGTGGATCCCTGCCACCTATTTGAGACACCAGGATGGTGGTCTTGGCTCCTGGCTTGGCCTACTTGCTGTGGCTATTTGAAGAGGAAACCAATAAATGGAAGAAGTGTGTGTGTGTGTGTGTGTGTGTGTGTGTGTGTGTGTGTGTGTGTGTGTGTGTGTGTGTGTGTGTTTGTACTGTGTGGGTAGGTAAGTAGGTATTAGAAAGAAACTTGCTTGGTGGATTATAAGAAATGACCTAATATTTATGTCTTCAATAATTTTAGCCAGGAATTTAATAAAAAAAATTATGAAGAGATAGACTATTGAAGAAAGCTGAACACTGAGTATTTGATATTCACTAATGATTCTTTATGGGAATGTGGGTTTAACATTTGACAGTTGCCATCATTTGATCATTGCTGAAGATACAGGGTGGATGTTCACCATCTATTCTCTCCACTTAGGTGTATATTCTACATATTGCAGCAAAACATTAGTAAAACTGTGTTAGTAGCTGATGATTTCCTAAATGCTTTGTGAGCCTAATCTGCTCTATGTAAAGACTATATGTAGCCCACAGACTGCTGTTGTGGAGTTTCTGTGGTGATTTTTGGAAAGAGGGTGTTTCACTTTAACCTGGAGAGTAAGTCCACTCCCAACTCACTGCTCACTTCTGCACTTTCCAGAAAGAAGGGTCTACACCATCTGTGCAAGTGAATGACCAGGAGCCCTTACCTGTTGCCTGGAATAGAATTTCCTTGAGTATGTGAGCAAAAAGGATAATATACATAATTGCAGGGAACAATGCCCCCTAGTATTATTGTGTTCATCTCATCTCCATTCTGCACTCCTCGCAGAAAAGGCAGTAACTGTTTCAATTTTTGATAGCCCAAGGTATTTTGAAATTTTGGCTAATCACATTTCCCCCTCTTATCTCTGTGTCTGTTTCAGGATGGAATGGGCAACTTGAGAATCACAGAAAAAGGCCTAAAGCTGGAAGGAGATTCAGAATTTTTACAACCTCTCTACGCCAAAGAAATCCAGTCCCGACCGGTAAGTTCCTGTTGAAAGAATAAGGAGTTACTGATTCTCTGAAATCTGTCTCTTGAGAAGTTTACCAGCTCAGTTCAAGGACTGGGCGCGAGGGGACGTCACAGGTAGTAAGATGAATCCACATGCCAATCTGAAGTCCCGGGTATAATCACAGTGTGACATAGAGCCAGGGAGAAGACAGCTGTCAATCTCTTTCCTTTCCTGCTTGATAACAGGTACCAGCCCTGGCCAACCAGCCATAAAGCCTGTGCTGCATTGGATAAGCATTAATAATAATCATTATTAAATGTTTTGAAGCCACATTTGCAATATGTACATATATATGTAGAGATATGTATATAGTTAGAATTTGGACTGTGTGGTTAATGTTGGGTTGATAGACTTCAATATCAGTAATTATGCTCCAAAGCAGGGCTTAAATAACCACCACAGATTGTATGCTGTGTTCCAACCATGTATCTGCTTTGTATGAATATCAAGTATCTCGAGTCACAGGCTGAGCCCTGCAGAGGCCACAACTGTGCTGCCATTTTACAAATTAAAGAATCAGAACCTTAAGAAGTAATGGGACCAAAGCCACATCCCTGTCAGACAGTAGGACCAAGATTCCATTCGTAAGAATTGAGTTCTACAGTGATTCCAGATAACTAATGTTGCTCATTCCTAAGTTACTGCTTCCATTCATTTCTTTTTCATCATGAAAGAAGTGATACCAAGGTGCTTATTTTCATTAACAAGACCTTTTAGGTTGACTTTTTCTGTTGAAAACTTTGGGTAGAGGGCTGATGGTTAGTGGTTTTGCTGCTGGTTTGGGGGGATGGAGGTAGAATTCACAGCTAATAAGGTTGGCTGGTACCCATGCTCTGCCTTAGAATGTTCTGTGTTTACCTACAAGCAAGGAGTAACATGAACTTTCCCCGAATCTTCCTCTGCCTTGCGTGCATTGATTAATGTCATTAATGAAGTTTCAGCCTCCTGCTACAGTGATCATTTTATCTGGATACTATCTAAAGTCTAAAAATGTATTAAAGTGTGCTTAGCAACTGAAATGTCATTAAGTTTATTTCCTTGTGTGCTGGTGAAAGAATCCAAATGTTAATTTCATCGAGCATAATAAACCGTATCAGCCAGACAATGGTTATTTATAAAATTAAACTGAAACCCACAGCACCTTGGCTTGAGCACATTAAGTAAGAGTAAACAGTAGGTGTGACTGTTGGACAGGCCTTGGACTTGCCAAATCATAACCTCCTATGATGCTCGCATGAACTTATAGACTTTATGTAGCATTCCTGTCATCTTTTTGCTTTGTTTTGCTTTTTTATTTTTTGATTTCCCTGATCATTGCTCATAGACTAACCCCGGAGGCCTCTCGTTGTTTTATCAGCTGCGTCATGTCTCCCTAGATCATAGCTGCCTCTTTCTTTTCACAAAGTATTTCCTTCTGCTTTACCCTTTGGAAAGAGATCAGTGTCTGGTTGAACAAGATTGGTCAGCACTCTAAGTGAGGATAAATAGCAAAGCACCACAACCTCATTTTGTCTTTGTGTTTCACTGATCTTGGAGGAATTGAGATTGGTTAAGCAATCTACACCATATTCAATACTGTGTCTGATTTCATTATGGAAGGTTGTAACCTTGGTAAAGTCACTACAAATTGATTATTGTGGTAGCTGTCAGGAAGAAAAAGAGGAAATGTTTATCGTTATCAAAATTTTCTTCTGTGCCTGAAATGAAAGCCCTGGGACTTCCATCTTCAACCCTATGGACACTCAGCTTCTAATTGATCCAAGATCAGGCTGTTCAGAAAACAGATTGAAAAGGATACAAGCACACTACATTGAGTTTTCTTTCATGACATTCAAAGAGAGCCTGTCTTAGCAATACCACTTGAATGTATTAACAGTAAGTTATAATGCCATAAAACTCTGTATTTGAATCCCTATGTCATTATGACCAAACACATTATCAGTGCCAAATGCAATTACAGAATTTTTTATAAGAGCTACTAAGAAGAGAGATTGAATGACTTAGTATCAAGGATACCTTTATTCACAAAGATTACTTATTCCTTCAGGGAGACTCATATCTTGGTACTCATAATGCTAAAAAGAGCAGATGCTTTTGCAATAACTTAATGTATAGTACTGAGAGATGGGAAAATGAAGGCTTTTCTGAATGCCTGCTGTGCTCCAGTCTAACAGCACAGGATTTGGGATAATGAATTTAACTTAAAAACTACACGTCAAGGTGGATATGGGGATTGTAGTCTATTGTTCTTCTCATTATCCAGTAAAATAGAAAGTAAAAAATATATAAAGTTGGAAGAGCGATAAAATTAATATATAAGGATAATAAAGTAGAAAATTATCAGTTAAATCTTACAGCTGTTTATTTAAATGATTTTATCCTATTAAAGACTCTGAAGATGTACTCATCTATACATAAAATTAGGAAAGAACTCTCATTTGGGAATTAAGGTGATGCTCATCTCATGGTAGGAGTATGGGAAAATTTTCTCCCTTTCAATTGTTTTTAGTAGTTTTAGAAGAATTGGAATGAGTTCTTGAAATGTTTGGTACAATACACTAGTGATGCCATCTGGTACTGGATTTTTCTTTGTTGTGATAGTTGTTAGTACTGATTCAGTCCTCATCTTGCTCATTGGTCTATTTAGGTTTTCTGTGTTTCGTGACCCAATTTTCATACATTGTATGGGTTCAGAAATAGATCATCTTCTCCTAGATTTTCTGATTGTTTGCCTATTGCTTTTTTTTTTTAAAGATTTATTTTTATTATCTTTTCATTGGAAAGGCAGATATACAGAGAGGAGAGACAGAGAGGAAGATCTTCCGTCCGATGACTCACTCCCCAAGTGAGCGCAACGGCCAGGTCTCCCATGCGGACGCAGGGTCCCAAAGCTTTGGGCCGTCCTCGACTGCTTTCCTGGGCCACAGGCAGGGAGCTGGAAGGGAAGCGGGGCCGCCGGGATTAGAACCGGCGCCCATATGGGATCCCGGGCATGCAAGGCGAGGACCTTTAACCACTTGCGCCACCGCGCCGGGCCCGCCTATTGCTTTTTGTAGCAATTCCTGATAAGTCTCCTTTTTCTGGACTATCCTTTATAACATCTCCTTTTTCATCTCTCACTGTATTAATTTGTATCTTCATACTTTTTTTCACTTTTGTTAAATAATCAGGCCAGTGGTCAGTCAACTATTTTTTATTTTAAGAAAAACCCAAATTTTGACATCACTGATCTTTTGTACTGTTTCTGGTTCGGGGGGTGAGGTTGTACTGTTGATTCAGAGCATGTGGTTTAACCTTCATGTGTTGACATATCTTCTTCAGTTTGTTAGGTTGATAGTTTCTTCATTCCTTTATAGTCAGAGTAGACACATGGTATGATTTCAAGTTTTTTTTTTAATTTATAAGATTTGCTTTATGATCCAGAATACATTCTGTCCTAGAAAAAGTTCATACAAAGCTGAAAAGAGTGCATATTCTGTTACTGAGGAATGCTATGTTCTATAGGTATCAATTAAATCCACTTGACCTATAGTATTGATTAGCTTTGCTGATAAGTGTTTTGTTTTGTGTCTACAAGATGCATTAGTTAATGAAAGTGTGGTGTTGATACCTCCATTTATTATAATTGTCCATGTCTCACTTTAAATCTATAACCATTTATGTTAAATAGTTAGGTACTCTAGCATTGAGTGCATATATGTATTTTTCTCTAGTCAATTTTTCTGTTGAATTGATCACTTAATGATTACATTCTGCTATTCGTTGTCTCTTTTAAGTTTGTGTATTAAAATCTGTTTGTATTAGGAGACTACAACTGCTCATTTTTTCTTTCTCTTAGCATGAGATTTTTTTTTTTCATATTCCCTCCTTTAGTTTGTGGGTATCATTGGTGAAGTGAGCGTTTTCACAGGCAGAAAATAGATGGATCTTGTTTTTTTAATGCATTCAATCAATCAGTGTTTTATTTGAATCATTTGGGCTACTTACATTCAAGGTTATTAGTAATAATGACTTGGTACCACCCTTTTCCCATAAACATTCCAGCTGTTTTACTTTGCATTTCCTCTGTACTTTTGCCTGGAGATGTTTCTGCTTTCACATTCTTTCGTGATGACTGTCATTCTCTGTTTCTATGGGTAGTACATCTTTAGGTGACATTTGTAAAGCTGATGAGTGATGGTGACAAATTTAAGGTCTTTTTTTCCACTTACCTTTATGCATGAGTGAAAGATTCATCTAGTGCAGTACTGAATTGACCATTATCCTTTTAGAACTTGCACTGTGTCTCCGTTCTCTCCTAGCCTGTTGGGTTTCTGATTAGAAATTAGCTTTCTGCCTTCAGAGGAATCCCAGTTAGGCTATCTGGCATTTCTTTTGTGCACATCCTGGAATTTTTATATTTTAATGTTGAAAATTTGGCTATAATGTTTCAAGGTAAAGATCTTGTTTATGCCTGTTGGGAATTCTATGTGCTTCCTGTACTGAATGTTTCTAACTATATCCAAATTCTGGAGATCTTTCTCATGTTTTTTCATCGAATATGCCTTCTACTTAATTTTTCTTTCTTCAGAAGTTCCTAAGGCACAGAAGTTTGGTCATTTGATAGTATCCCGTTAATCTTCAAGCTATTTTCATCTGTCCTTATTTTGATTCTTGTTCTTTTGTTTTAGGGTTTTCCAAGTATTCATCTTCTAGCTTGATATTCTTTCTTCTGTCTCACCAGGCTATTCTTGAGGCTTTCCACTGTATTTTCTATTTGACATATGGAATTTTTCATTGTCAGTAGTTTGATTTCTCTTTATTCTTCCAGCAGAATTTTTGTTCATACCATGTATGAATGCTTTTCTCTTATTTTGCTCTTGTATGTTTTTGAGTAGACTTATTCCTTTGAATTCCTTTTTTCCAGCACTTTGCCAATATCTTTATCTTCATATTGTGATATTGAAGTTTCACTTTCCTTTGCAGAATCA